GAGAACTAAAGAAAGCCACCTGGCGCAACTGACATCTGAAACGCCATAGTCTAGGATGATTTCAAGACAACCGAGGAGCTATGATCCACAGCTTTGGGCTGAAATTTCAATCAAAACAGGCCAGTGCTTTTCCAGACGTAGGGTTTGAACAAATCCAAAAACTTGGCGTACAGATGCCTCGTTAACAGCGTGCAAACACCCCTCTTTGGAGTTTATTGAAGACACAACAAGAAGCACAGGGAAGTGGATCGGACGGGTAATAGGGTAATGATTACATTGTGGTTAACATTTTCTTGCCAAACACAGGGTCTATGCCTAAAACAATCAAGCCCGATAATTCCGAACTAGAGGAGGTAGCAAAATGTCACCACTCAAGGCGGAAAAACTTCTAGTTTAAACCGACAGCCAAGGGATTTTGGAAGAGCAACTACGGCTACGGACTTTCAGTACAGTTTCCAGGTCATCAGCTGAGGCATTATGTTTAGACAGATCAGCCTGTGGAAGACGGCATGAGCTTACACTTCAAGAGATCTATCTAATCATGGAAGGTTTTCCGTTTTGCCTTAACGTGATCGTTGTGGGTGCCCATTTAAAACTAAGTCAATGACATAACTTGTGAATTAAATGAAGCCAACGTCACGCAAAATACGGGATTTTAGAAAAAATTTCGTTCGCCCGTGCTAGTGCACTTATAACAGTTGGGAAGGAAAATGAGAACGGCGGCGCCAAGTCACATCCGAAAATTCGACATCTTTGTAGCATAAAACAGTTTAATATCAATCAACGATGTGCTTCTCTTTCCGCGGTGATATATTAGCAAACCAGTGATAACTATTCATTCGTTGGGGGAGCCCAGTCATCATGGAGAAGCAAATGTCCGTAACACCGACTACTCGATACAGACGATCATTCAGACGTGGAGCGGGAAAATAACTGTTCTCCGGGGGTCAGACAAATTTAATGTCACAGCATCTTAACTAATAAGTAGTCGAACATTGCATATAAGGGAGGGAATATTGACCAAAAATGCAAAAGACAGGATCTGTGTAGTCACCTTCGTATGGGACTTGTCCCTGACTATCTTCAATGCCGGAGAGAAGCACATCTACTTCTTCATTGCGCAGTCTCTCGCCTAACTGAGTTAAAAGATGCCGGAGCTCTGCGGAACTGATGAAACCATTTGCTTCTTTGTCGAAAACTCGAAAACCCTCAATAAATTCATCCGGATTGTTGGGCTTCTTATCCTTAAGCAATCCTTGGTAGATCGGCAGAAAAGTCTCAAAGTTGATCCTCTCGTCTGAAGTAGATACGCGTCCGCGATTTTCAATGAAAATACAAAAGGGGGAGCATTAGGGTTCACTGTGGTGTCATGGACAACTACTAGCATTATTCAAAACAAACAAAGACAGTGAAGGCAGGATAGTAAGCATGACAGAAAATATTCAACAATAGTTAGACATAAAACGTTCGCTATGGGTTTCAAAAAGAAAAGAACTGTGCCCTACTTTACGTGAGACAACGATTAAGAATGACAACAAAGTTAAACACCGTGATTTCATAAAATCAGATCCTAAGAAGCGAGAGCTGTTTATTTAGGAGTTGAACAAAATAGATGAGAAGGAGCGATAGTGTTAGAATGTAAAAACCCTCGAGAGTATGGCGGAAAATAGGTTTCACCTGGGGAATCTTGAGAAACACATTTCCTGAGATCCGCTTCAGTTGGTGTCAGTCCAAGAGCTCTAACGATTTCTGCGATGTGTTTCACTTCGATCTTTTCATCTTCGCCGTTTGTATAGAGCATGAACAATTCTCGGGCATCTGTTAAAACTTAAATCACAAGCTATTACTAACCCTGCAACTCTTTTTCCGGCAAGTCCGACATATTGCAACTAAACGACAGTACGCAAATGGGCTCGGAAGTACTAAGCTTAGTGAGGGCAGAGGGCTGTGGCACCTTCGACCTTGACTTCTCATTACAAGCTAGGAGGATAAGGGCCTGCACGGATCTATGAGGAAATTAAACACAAGCGGGCGTACAGAACTGTTTAATGGACATAAAAACAAATAAGGACAGTTGCTCGCCTCCGAGAAAACGAGGGAGATAATAAAGAACATTTTCAGCAGAAAATAAAGGCGAGCGGGGATTTATCATTTGAACTTTTCAACAAAAACGTCCAGAATATACTTAAGAGGATTATTAGAAAACAAATAGGTTAGCATAAAGCCTTATAATTAATATTGCGACGTTTCTAGTCTCATTTTTTTGATTTTGGTTTATTCACTCGCGAGGATTCGTGCCAACATGAATAACGCGGAACGTTTACATGCCGCAAACACGACCCATGGCTTACGAAGGCTTCAAAACAATTGATTTAGAATGAAAGTTTGGACTGTAATATACAGAATTCTACCAGCAAATTAAATGACCGGTATGAAATGTATTTGTACAATGATGTCATTTAAGACGGCATAAGAATCTACCCAACTGAAGACAATATTTGAAGAAGGGAATGCATAATAAACATATCCATTCCAAACGTAACAGAAAAATTCCACGACAGCCGTAAATGAAAAGAGAAAGAATTTGAACTTCGATGAACCCTTGCAGTCGGATATAATGTTTGTGATAGAAGAGCGTGTGTTCCAGCGACCGTGTCTTCTTCTCCACAACTACTTATTAAAACTCGCCCTTCGTCTTTATCGGCAAGAGCGTGTAGGAAGTTCTAGAAGGCCCGGCCACGTGCGTCCGCCATCTTGGCGAAGGTTCTAGAAAGCGCGCCCCTTAAGGGGCGCGCCCGCCGAACTTTTCCATATTTATACGCTAGGCACTTAGTCGCAATTTGGCTTCTCACGAAAAGTATGCATTTAATAAATTATTATAACGCTAAAATTAAGCAAGATAGCCCTGGCATAAGTTTGTTTAACTTTCCATCCTCGATCTACCCTCAACCAATCAACAATGGCGGCCCCAACCTTGCGACTCCCTCCCTGGAAAAGCTATAAATACGGGCGAGGATTAGGCCCCAACAACCCCGTGGCCGGTCGCCGCTCTCCAGACGTCGGACCTCCGTCACCCTCTCCGTTGGACCTCGGCAATCCCAGTCGCCTTCGGACAATCCTTCCAGATTTAGCTTATTTTTGTAATTAGGACTCTCCCCTTAGTTTCTTTTTGTACATAGGTCGTTCAGTAAAGCAGTGACTAGTCTGACTTATCCTGTTGGGCCTCGTTGACCACTCTTCTCACTAGACGGGATCGTTACCACATCGGGGACGTTACATTTTGGTGGCAGCGGTGTTTCGTTACAATGTCGGACAACCTTGTGGGCAAGTTGGTCAAGGAGCTGCAGAAGTTAGGTCTGCAGCAACCGTCTGCGCCTGTGCCAGAGAAGCTAACGCGGAGTGCTGATTTCAGCCGGTAGGAGGCTCGGTTGAAAGATTACCTGAAGGTGGTGGATCCTTCGTCGAAAAGCGGAACCATTTTGGGCCTGCTGGACGATGAAGTGTACGACCTCGCACTGTCATCGGGCATATCCGCCTCCACGCCGGCGTCAGACATCCTGGATGGCCTTCGTGCAATTCTCGGGGCGTCTGTGCACCCATGGATTCTGCAATCAGAGTTCCGGAGCCGTTTCCAACAGCCGGGCGAAGGAGTTCTCGACTACCAGCAGGCCCTTCGTCTCCTGGGACGGAAGGCTTTTCCCACCATGGATGCTGCAGCCCTCACTCAGCGGGTGTTGGAGCAGTTCGTCGCTGGTGTCAGGGATCCTGAAGTCCGGAAGGTCTTGATGCGGGGACAACCGGCTACTCTCGACAAGGCCCTCGACCTGGCACGTCAGGAGGAGGCGCTTCAGGCAGTTTGCGATCGGCCAGTTCAACCTCTCCTCGGCGTCGCTGCTGTCCGCCCGAAGACGGTCCGTGACTCTGCTACTCAAACGCCCTGGCAACCTTGCTCCTGCGGCTCCTTCTACCCCCGACAGAACCCGTGGCGTCGTCCACAGCACCGCCGAGGCCCAGGACCCCAGACTCGCCGCCCCGTTCAGGCCATTGATGCCAGTACGGAGGAACACGGCGGTAAGTACTACATTGTGTCTGATTCCGCTGTTTCATGCGTTGGTCCTACTATCTGTCCTCTAGTTGAAGGTTTTGTAGGCTGCACTAGTCTTTCATGCCTAGTAGACTCAGGCGCTGGTTGTTCTTTGATACGTCAGCAGTCCTTTTTAGAGTTCCAAACGAGGATAAGGTATTGTGATAGGCCTAATTTTAAACTTCATACTGCAAATGGCACTCATCTTAGGCATACTGGTCTTGTGGAGTTTTCTCTTGACCTCTCAGGTCTTAGTTTTACCCACCAGTTTGTCGTGTCCCCGGACATCACCTGGGACTGTATAATAGGTGTTGACTTTTTAAACAAGTTTAGATGTTCCCTTGATTTCGGTAGGCATTCTTTACGTGCCGCCACGGTCAGTGTGCCTTTTCTTCGCAGTCTCCCTGAGCCGCGGAGGGTATCCACTTGCGCGGTTAGTGTTGATGTTAAGGACCTGGTCCCGGCACACCTCGACGAAGGTAGCGCCCGGAAGCTCAGCCAGTTAATAAGCGAATTTAAGGACATCTTTGACTGGGATGGCAAGTCCACGGGGCGGACAGGTGTGACGGAGCACTGCATCGACACGGGAGATGCGAGACCAATCCGGGTTCCTCCCAGGCGACTTCCAATCTTTTACCAGAAGGAACTAGATGCTCTTATCAATGATATGCTTAGTCGTAATATTATAAGGCCCTCTCAGTCGCCCTGGTCATCCCCCATTGTACTTGTAAAGAAGAAGGACGGGTCAATGCGATTGTGCATTGACTATAGGAAGCTAAATGCAGTGACTAAGAAAGACTCCTTTCCTCTCCCACGAATAGATACCACGTTAGACGCTCTCGCTGGAAATGTTATGTTTTCGACACTTGATTTAGCTTCGGGCTATTGGCAAGTTGAAGTGCGTCCCTCTGATAGGGAAAAGACTGCCTTCGCGGTCCCCTCTGGCCTTTACGAGTTCGAAACGATGCCCTTCGGCCTAGCCAATGCCCCCAGCACTTTTCAGAGGTTGATGAACCAGGTGCTTGCACAGTTAATACCAACCTCGTGTTTAGTATACATGGATGATATAATCGTCCTCGGAAAGGACTTTGATAGCCACCTTAGTAACATCAGGGCGGTGTTTAGCAGTCTCCGACAGGCAGGGTTAACCCTGAAGCCCTCCAAATGTGTTTTTATAAAGCCCCGCGTGAAGTTTTTAGGCCATGTAGTCTCAGCCGCGGGGATAGAGACTGACGACGAAAAGGTCACACTAATCCGTGAGTGGCCCACTCCCTCCGATGTGACGGAGGTCCGCAGTTTCCTAGGTCTCGCCTCCTATTACAGGCGATTTATTAAGGATTACGCCCAAATTGCCGGGCCGCTCCACAAGCTTACGCAGAAAAACGTAAAGTTCAAGTGGACTGCTGACTGTACCAACAGCTTCCAGACGCTAAAAGATAAGCTATGTACCACCCCAATTCTAGTCTTTCCTGATATTAGTAATGATGCAGGAAAGTTCATCCTGGATACCAATGCCAGCGACACCGCAATCGGCGCGGTTCTCTCTTAGCAACAGCTGGACGGTACCGAGCGTGTCATCCAGTATTTAAGTAGATCGTTGACCAAGGCAGAACGGCGCTACTGCGTGACTCGAAAAGAGATGCTGGCCCTCACGCACTTTGTGGAAGAATGCCGGCCATACCTTCAGTACCGGCCGTTCGTCGTTCGCACTGACCACAGTGCCTTGACTTGGCTAAGAAATTTTAGGAATCCTGAAGGGCAGGTAGCTCGTTGGCAAGAGAAGTTAGCGGAATACGACTTCGAATGCGTGTTCCGACCCGGTCGCCAACATGGCAGCGCGAACGCTCTTTCGAGGAAACCGCATCGCCCTCACGGGGAGTGCCCGTCATGCACGGACATTACCATCTCGGCTATCGCTTTGCAAAGCGACCAATGCCTTCTCTGGGCCGCAGCCCAAAGGGATGACCCTCATATCCGTCCCATTTATGATAGGAAGGTCAGTAACGGTAGACCCCTTAATAAAGCTGAGTTAGCGGGTTGTAGTTATGAGACGCGATGCTTACATAGCCTTTGGGACAAATTGTTCATCGAAAATGGTGTTCTATTCTATCGCGACAACGAACAATACCCAAGGCGAGTCGTCCTACCGCTTTCGATGGTGGAGGACGTGGTCAAAAGGATGCATGCGGAACTAGGGCATTCCGGCATCCACAAGACCGAGTGGGCACTCCGCCGGCGTTACTACTGGCCGAATCAGAAGACCGACATACAGAACGTTGTCCGGTCTTGTGAGCGGTGTTTAGGCTTTAAGTCCCCCGGGCACTCCTACAGAGCCCCACTACAGCCAATTCAGACAGGCTATCCCAACGAGAGGGTAGCGGTAGACTTAGTTGGCCCGATCGCACCATCCGCGAGGGGAAATAGGTTTATTCTCGTCATGGTAGACTGTTTCACCAAGATGGCTGAGGCAGTACCCCTACCAGATGCGTCTGCCCCCACAGTAGCCCGAGCCATCTTCAATGGGTGGATCTGCCGCTGGGGAGCCCCGGACCAACTCCACTCAGACCGAGGCTCGTCGTTCGAGAGCAGCGTCGTACACGAGCTGTGTAAGGTTATGAAAATTAAGAAAACACGCACTACTGCGTACCACCCACAAGGCAACGGCCAGGTGGAAAGGACGAACCGGACGCTGATCAATCTGTTGCGGGCATTTGTCGACCGGAACTCAGCACCCACATGGGACGAAGCCTTGCCGGCGTGCATGTTGGCTTACCGATCCACGGTAAATGCCACTACCC